TGCTCGTGGTCGAAGGCGCGCTGCGCGAACACCACCCCGCTCTGCGCGCTCACGGACACGTAGGACGCCAGCGCGCGTGGCTCCAGGTCGCTGTTCACGATGGAGTAGGAGACGCGACCGTTGGGCCCCAGGTCGGGGTCGGAAGCGCTGACTTGTGCGATGGATGCTCCAGGAGGATTATTCTCAGCCACATGGACTACGTAAGAAGGCTGTTCGAAAACCGGCGCGTTGTCGTTGACATCGCCGATGTGTAGGGTGACGCTTGAGCTAGAAGAAAGGGGAGGCTTGCCCCTGTCGGTGGCTGTGATGGTGACATTGTACTCAGGGGTCTGCTCACGGTCTAGAATTCCATCTGTCACTAATTTATAGGTGTTTATCGAAGAAGAGACTATTTTAAATGGAACATCACCTTCTAATTTACAAATAACTTCTCCGTTTTGTCCAGAATCCTTGTCACGGATTTTAAGCAAAGCAACGTGTGTTCCCAGGTTGGTGTCCTCCATAATAATATCCCGCAGAGATTGGAATACCACTTCTGGGATATTGTCATTTATGTCTTGGACCTCTATCTCCACGGTACATTGAGCAATCATTCCTCCACCATCCCTTGCTTCCAAAACTATGGAATATTCTTTGACTTCCTCAAAATCTAACCTATTTAGAATAGTAATTTCCCCGGTAATAGAATTCAGGTCAAACTGGGTGATCTGGCCTGCTTCAGTGAAAGAGAAGGTGATCTGGGCATTGACACCCTCATCCTGGTCAGTGGCCATCACTCGAAGCACAGGGGTGCCCGGAAGCACGTTTTCCAGAACGCTCACCCTGTATAGTTCTTGGCTGAACACTGGGGGGTTATCATTGGCATCAGTCACTAGGACCTGTATCTGGGCAGTACTACTAAGGGGTGGGTCCCCGCAGTCCAACGCAGTCAAGGTCAACTGGTAGGATTTCTGCTCTTCCCGGTCTAAAGGCGTTTTTAGTACCAGCTCAGGGTATTTACCGCCATCTTGTTTCTCTTTATTCACGAGTGAGAAATGATCATTGGGGTTGAGCTGGTAATTCTGTAGTGAGTTGGTACCAATATCTGCATCATGGGCAGATCCTAAAATAAATCGTGCCCCGGGCTTTGTAGACTCACTTATCTGCAGGTCAAAAGAAGTTTGGGTGAATTTTGGGGTATGGTCATTAATATCTTCGATGTCCACACTCACGTGATAAAAATTCAACGGGTTTTCAGCAACAGCCTCAAATTCCAGAGTACAGGCTGGCTTCTTCCCACATATCTGCTCCCGGTCTAGCCTGCTGCCCACAAGTAACTCCCCGCTCTTGGCGCTCACGGTGAAGTAAGCCTTCTCCGAACTGATGCGCAGTTGTCGAGTCGGGAACTCATGCACGCTGAGTCCCAAATCCTTGGCGAGGTTCCCCACCATCGAGCCCTCGGGCATTTCCTCGGGAATCCTGTAGCGGATCGGCTCAGAGAGCGCCGGGCCGAACAAAGACAGCAGGAAGGGAAAGAGCACTGGCCGCCTCTCAGCCCAGCCCCTCTCGGCAGCGCCGCTCCCCATCCCTCTTGCTCCCCTCAGGTTGCTCACCGGCCTGGAGACGCCGGATTACAAATAATCTCTGTGCTGCAGATGTCCGGAGCTCCGAACAGGCTGTAAGTCCTGTGTGAGGGTCAGAGTTTCTTCTTTTCCGGAGGAGGAAGTGGTGTAAAGGATTGGGCTAGCGAGTCTGATAGGGAAAGTGCGCTGCGGCTGCGCGAGGAGATCGCCAGCGCCCAAGCTCTCCATTTTGGCCAACAGCGGCGCCCACAGTCCACACTGGGGAACTGCAGCCTCTGCTGCTTCAGTTTAACCAGCTACAGTAACAATCCTGTGCCTAACTGAACAAATTATTTTTATATGTGTATATATTTAATGATGATTGATTCGTATTATTAGCTACACAAATATCCCAAATTTTCAGGTTTTCAGGGTAGTCAATATGTTGACATAATTATTCCTCCATCTTCAAATCCACACTGTAATAGATGACTATAACACAGACTTCGCCTAACCGATCTCAGAGTACAGTAATTTTGAATACTTATTAATTATCAGTATACGAATAAAGTTTGTTGTCCTTCTTTCCTTGTTTCTGTTTTTCATGATTTCTTTCTTTTTTGGGTACCTCTATGCTGGTTCATTTCAATTTTTTAGAAAGCATCAGTAATGCTGAAATTGTCTTTAAAAGGGCACAACTTATACTTATTTCTAAACTCTTCTTTCTTTCAAAATAGTTTCTTTTTTTAAAGATTTTATTTATTTGACAGAGAGACACAGCGAGAGAGGGAACACAAGCAGAGGGAGTGGGAGAGGGAGAAGCAGGCTTCCTGCTGAGCAAGGAGCCTGAAGTGGGGCTGGATCCCAGGACCCTGGGATCATGACCTGAGCTGAAGAAAGATGCCTAACGACTCAGCCACCCAGGCGCCCCTCAAAATAGTTTCAATAATTTCTTTACAGTAATATTATCTGATGTACACTTGTATCAGTTAAGGAAATGATAGCTGGAAGAACGTTAGCCTGTTCCCTCTCCTTTGCATTGTGCAATTATTTTCCTGGTTATAAAATATAACATCAACCTTCAAAGTTACCAGAGTGATATATTTTGCCTTCGAACACAAAGTAGCTAACTCTGGTCTACTACAGTGAGGTACTGGTTCTCACTTGTGTGCTTAAATAGAACACCTCATGATGACCTCAGTGGATGAAATAGTCCTTAGAATATTCATTTGAAATAGCATACTGAGTTTAGTGGTGGCTTCTTTCCTTTGTTTAAAAATATTTTTAAGCGGCGGGTGGGAGGGATGGGGTGGCTGGGTGATAGACATTGGGTAGGGTATGTGCTATGGTGAGCGCTGTGAATTGTACAAGACTGTTGAATTACAGATCTGTACTTCTGAAACAAATAATGCAACATATGTTAAGAAAAAAGAAAAAGAAGAAGATAGCAGGAGAGGAAGAATGAAGGGGAGTAAGTCGGAGGGGGAGACGAACCATGAGAGACAATGGACTCTGAAAAACAAACTGAGGGTTCTAGAGGGGAGGAGGGTGGGGGGATGGGTTGGCCTGGTGATGAGTATTAAAGAGGGCACATTCTGTGTGGAGCACTGGGTGTTATGCACAAACAATGAATCATGGAACACTACATCAAAAACTAATGATGTAATGTATGGTGATTAACATAACAATAAAATTTTAAAAAAATAAAAAAATAAAAATATTTTTAAGTATCTAATGAATCTGGTTGGGGGATTTTCCTTTTCAAAATACCTGATAATCATATTTCTGCCTCACAAAGTGTCAGTAATATTGTCTTCTTCCCAAGTGATTATACATCTGAACACTGCAAAATATATGAAACATACTTCCACACTATTGCACATCCCCTCTTATGCAAAATACCACCAAACACAATGCTATGTTAAAAAAAAAGTCCTTTTATTTAATACTCGAAAGTTTAAACACAGCCAGGAAAGAGTTAGCCTATCCCCCTCCTTCCTATTGCACAATTATTTTCCTGGTTACAAACTATAACATCAATCTTCAAAGTTACAAGGGGAATAATATTTTGCATAGTTCCTAATAAAGAAGTCGATCCAAATAAACAATATTACTTGTCATCAACCCCTTCTAGTTGCTAATCAACTGATATACTGGCCTTTACTGAAATGTTATGTAATGAATATAAAAGTAGTTAAACCCAGATTAGGTTATTTGTAACTAAATTTTTCAGAAGATCCAATAAATTGAACCAATTTCTGGTCTAGGACCTGAGTATATGGTTGTTTCATAAAGCAAGCATCCCCAATCTCCCACTAGGAGAGCCCACACACTTCACATGGCTATACCACTAAAATAGCACAATAGAATTTTGTTTTAAAACATCTAACTGCTTATTTCACAAGTGCCACTTGAAATGACATTTTATTTGATATCATATTTTATTGGCTTCAGACAATAACCTTTATTGTTGCATTAGATCCATCTCACTGATCTAGATCTTAGTGAAGCTTGATGCACACATTACATTCTTTTATTTCAGATTTTATTTATTTATTTGAGGGAGAGAGAGAGAAAAAGAGCATGGGGGGGTAGTGTGGGAGGAGAGGGGCAGAGGGAGAGGAAAAAGCAGATTCCCCACTGAGCATGAAGACCACTCAGGGCTCCATCCCAGGACCCTGAGATCATGACCTGAGCCGAAGGGACAGAGCCATGCAGGCGCCCCACACATTTCATTCTTTAGGCATTAGTCTAACCTTCTAGCAGAAACTAACTTTAATGGACGATTATGTTTAAATACGTCAGGAAGTGAAATATCACCTCCCACCTGTCAGAATGGCTAAAATCAAAAACACAAGAAATGACAAGTGTTGGTGAGGATGTGGAGAAAAAGCAGCCCTCTTACACTGTTGGTGGGAATGCAAACTGGTGCAACCACTCTGGAAAACAGTATAGAGGCTCCTCAAATAGTTAAAAATAGAACCATTGTATGGTCCAGTAATGGTGCTACTAGGTATTTACCAAGATACAAAAACACTAATTCAAAGGGATACATGCACCCCTATGTTTATAGCACCATTATTTAAACTAGCCAAATTATGGAAACAGCCTAAGTGTCCATTGATTGATGAATGGATAAATGTGTGTATATATATACAATGAAATATTATTCAGCCATAAAAAGATGAATGAAATCTTGCCATTTGCAATGATATGGATGGAGCTAGAAATTATAATGCTAGGTGAAATAAATCAATCAGAGAAAGACAGATACCATATGACTTCACTCATATGTGAATTTAAGAAATGAACAAAGGAACAAGGAAAAAAAGAGAAACAAGCCAAGAAATCGACTCTTTTTTCTTTTTTAAGTAGGCTCCATGACCACATGGAGCCCAACGCTGGGCGGGACTTGAACTAATGACCTAATGAGATCAAGAGCTGAGCTGAGATCAACAGTTGGATGCTTAACTGGCTGAGCCACCCGGGCACCCCCAAGAAACTGACTCTCAACTATTGAGAACAAACTGACGGTTACCAAAGGGGAGGTGGATAACCTAGTGGGTAACCTCTTGATAACCTAGGGCAATGGGAAAGATGTAACAATTCATTCTCATTTATAAAACACATGAATTAAGAACACTGAGTAGAAAATAGATGGAAGGTATAAAAATGTAATTGTCCACTTATTCACAATCTTCTCCCCAGGCTTTCACTATGGAAAGGACACTAAAACCTATGCCAACAAGTGTTCTATATTAAAGTATCACCACAGAAATAAATTACTGAACGTGGTTTACCTCTTTAAAGGTTTTTCACCACATCTTCAAAAACACTTGTTTCACAAAACAATAAAGAAAATCACACAAAATATAATTCCTTAAGAATATAAAGATAAAGGAATTAGAGAACGCACCTGAATATTTTCGTCTTCTTCCTTACATTCACGAAAATCTATGGCGGTTAATAAGGGATCTTTTTTCTCACACGTCTCCAGACTGATGAGCGTGTCCGCGTAGTTGGGCTGGGGGAAGATCACGTGACTCTTCCGCGAGTCCGCGGTCAGGGAGACCTCGTGGGAATAGGTCTGCAGGAAAGCCCGCACCCCGTCCACGCCCACAAAGTGCGAGGCCGGCACGCCCACCAGCCCGCCTCCGGAGGCCTGGAGCAGACGCGACGCGTGCCAGCGCCTCAGCCTGAGCGCCAGCAGCACGATGACAAAGGCCAGGAAGACGCACGAGACTGCCGCCACCGCCACCACCAGATACAGCGTGAGGTCCGAATCGTCTGGGTCGGCGGGGGTCCTGATGCTGCCCAAGTCGGCCAGGACGGCTGGGATGCTGTCGGCCACGGCCACGGTGAGCGTGACGGTGGCCGAGAGAGGGGGCTGGCCGTGGTCCTGCACCGCCACCACCAGGCTCTGCTTGAGCGCGTCTCTGTCCAGCAGGGCCCGCGCCGTGCGCACCTCGCCCGTGTGCAACCCCACCGCGAAGAGCCCTGGCTCGCTCGCCTTGAGCAGACGGTAGGACAGCCAGGCGTTCTGGCCCGAATCTCTGTCCACCGCCACCACCTTGGTGACCAGGTAGCCGGGCTCTGCGGAGCGGGGTGCCAGCTCCACGCCGGTGGAACCATCGGTGGGGGGGGCGGGGTACAGGATCTCTGGTGTGTTGTCATTCTGGTCCAGAATGAATATGCTCAAGGACACATTGCTGCTAAGCGGTGGGTCCCCGCTGTCGTGCGCAGTCACTCTCAACTGCAGGTCACGGAACTGCTCATAGTCGAAGGAATGCAACGCATACAGGATGCCGGTGTCAGAGTTGACGGACACATAGGAGGATAAGGAAGCCCCCTGGAGAGTGTCTTCAGACAGGGAGTAAGTGACTCGAGCATTCTCACGGCTGTCCGGGTCATGTGCAGTCACAGAGAAGATGGAGGCACCTCTGGGGTTGTTTTCAGGGATGTAGACAGAATAGGAGGACTGGGGGAAGGCAGGCGGGTTATCGTTGGTATCTGCCACATTCATGGAGATATGAGTTTCTGAGAACAAGGGTGGGGTTCCACCATCTGTGGCTTTCAGTGTGATATTATACACAGAGCATTTTTCCCGGTCTAGGTTTTTCGCTGTCATCAACTTATAATAATTGTCTATTGATCTTTCTAATTTAAAAGGAAGATTTTCTGAAATAGTGCAGGTCACCTCACCATTCTTGCCAGAATCTCGATCTTGAAGGTAGAAAAGAGCAACTACGGTTCCAGGAGGCGTGTCTTCAGGGATTGAGTTGCTTACAGATGTTACAGTCACTTCTGGGGCATTGTCATTCACATCTAAAACTGTGATAATTACTTTAGCCCTTGTCATACTACCAGGACCATCCTGAGCCTGAACTTCCATTTCATAGTAGCTGGACTCTTCATAATCTAGGCCTTCTAAAGTTGATAATTCTCCTGTATGAGAGTTCAGTCGGAATATCTGTAGAATCTTCTGAGTTATTTTCCGGAAAGAATATGTCACTTCCCCATTGACTCCCTCATCCAGGTCAACAGCGTGTACCGTGAGCAATCTTGCGCCCACCGGCACGTTCTC